CTATTTTTTATTTACACAGGAAGGTCTGATAAGACAACGTTACTGTCTTCACCACCCTAAGGATACAAGTGAAACGTAAAATTTAGATTTTTACGTTGTAGAGTTTTTTAAGCTTAAGTAAGGAATATGAGGTGATGGCAAAATATTCCAAAAACAGAATTTTCAATGAAACATGTAGAACAGTGGAACAAAATAGATAATCTAGAAACAGAAAATGGTCTGTTTGGTTTTGGCAAAGGTATAAAGGCAACTCAATAGAGCAACAGTAGTCTAGAATAGTTGGATATTCATGTACAAAAAAAAATGTTTTATTTGGGCACCTCATATCCCCTAATGGACACTAGGCAGCTCCCTGCCCAGGAATTTATATAAATTTTGGGACAAATTCCATTTTTCTTTTTTTTTTAAGATTTTTATTTATTTTATTTGAGAGAGAGAATGAGAGAGAGCACATGAGAGGGGGGAGGGTCAGAGGGAGAAGCAGACTCCCTGCTGAGCAGGGAGCCGGATGCAGGACTCGATCCCAGAACTCCAGGATCATGACCTGAGCCGAAGGCAGTCACTTAACCAACTGAGCCACCCAGGCGCCCCAAATTCCATTTTTCTTAACCCTAGTCTCCCTCTTCTCTCTAGCTTTCAATTCCCTCCTTTTCCTATTGCCAGATCCTCAAAGTTGTCAAGTTCAGGAAAAGATATATGAAATAAAGTCACATATACTAGAATAAGGAGAGATGAATTCATGGTTGCAGAAAATGTGAATCTAGGTATGGGTTTCCATTCAGCAGTTACTCAGATTTAACATCAAGTAAAATTGTCAGTAACATGCTTGCAAGTCTCATTTCTCCTAGAGAACATTTCTTATTACTCTTTTGATTCTCCCACAGTCTAGGAGACACATTATAAATGCTTTTAAAATGAAACTTAGTGGAATGATTAAGTTAGTTACTACTAACCTGGGACCCTACTTTATTTCAGCCCTGGTTGTTGAAAACATTTATAAAACGTTGATAATATGCTATTAATTTTTTTTTCCTGTTCCATTTCCTCAGACTCAATCTGATCAATTATCAAGAATGAAGTACTATGAAATGTGAATCAGAAAACAACCTGGGTCCAAGTCCTAGTTCTGACAGTTACTATATTCTTGGGCAAATTACTTGCCTTCTCTGAGCCTCATCTTCTTCATTTATAAAATGAGGATGATATAAAACTACCTTACAAAATTATTTTAAGGATCAAATTACATAATATATGAAACAACACTTTAAAAAATATAAAGTGCTTTAGTTATTATCAGGTAGATTAAAAAAATCTTTTTAGAGCCCAGTCCAATGCCCCTAGAAAATTCATTCAGGGGGAAGGAAAAATTACTGATAAAAGGTTCTATTGTCATTTGTTTCTCCCCCTCCCCGAAAAAAAAAGAAAACTGGTTAAAGTTTACTATAGCTATACAGGTGGATATAAGAAACTGCTAAATTACAGCCTTCTCTTTGCACTACTTATCGTGGAGAAACAGCTCAAATGCCTAACAAGAGAGAAAGGCTGAGTATATTAACATATTACAATATTACTATTTAAATGAAAAATATGTAAACCACCAAAACATGGACATATTTATTTTTAAGATTTTATTTATTTATTTGAGAGAGAGAGAATGTGAGACAGAGAACACAAGAGGGAAGAGGGTCAGAGGGAGAAGCAGACTCCCCGCTGAGCAGGGAGCCCGATATGGGACTCGATCCCGGGACTCCAGGATCATGACCTGAGCCGAAGGCAGTCGCTTAACCAACTGAGCCACCCAGGCGCCCCAAAACGTGGACATATTTAAATGAAACACTAAGCAGGAAGAGGAAAAGAGTCCAAGACAGTATGCATTCACAGATGACACTATGTAAGAAGCATGACTCCTATACTGTATTTTTGCCAAAGTCCAACCAAATATACGAATAGTCATACTGATCATCCAAAGCAACATCAAGAAAAGGAATATTTCTCATTACATCAAGTTCAAAAATTGCTGGAGTAATCTTAATGAAGTCTTTTGAACTTCTAGTTTTTATTAAGTCACAATATTTGGCCAGAGGAAAACCAAAGCTTCAATTTATACAAATAAATTGCATTGGGTAGAAACACGAATGAAGCTTTAACTAGTTTCACAAATATACATACGCACTTTATTTGGCTTGTCTCTTACATAGTCGTATATGGTACAAACACACCATTTAATTGTAAAATTCAAGTTCTCACTGTGTGAAGAGTAACAGTTTCATGCCAAGGGCCTAAGCAATTTATTTTTGTTTACATTCAAGCATTTTCCACTTTCAGAGTAGAACCAAAGACATATTACAACATATGAGGGGAGGGGAAGCGGGGGGCGAGGGGGGGAGACAGGCAATATCAGGTATGATTGCTTAGACAATCTGGCAATCCAACAATTCTCCCACCAACCTATTAACTTTTGGTAAAACCGTTTCAGCTAAAGTTTATTACTGTCATCTATGTACTCAAATCTAGTCAGACTTACAGCTCAGTTCCATTTTCAGAAATATTCAAGAAATACTGCCTCAAGATACCTAGATATACTTAAAGATTAACTTCATATATCTTTTATTTTTTCTTATACCAGTTTACAGATGTGCAAGGTTGGGGGAGGCACATAATACTCCATGAAGATGTGTGCACTTCCATTTTCTGACCCAGTATCCATACTTTCTATTAGATTCTCAATGGATTTCATGACCTCAAAGTATATCAATTCTAAGAGCAGTAATTATACCCCAGTTGATAATTAACTGCTAAATAAAATAAGGCATTCCTTCCACAGAAATGAAGGCTCACAGCTTTACCACTGGGTCCCTGGAGTAACTCCTGCTGCATCCCTGGAATAAAAGCATGAGTGTGAACTTAATAGCCTTATGAAAGATATTGCTTGTCAATACAACCCACTCTGCAGCATTAGAAAAGGTTAATTAATCTCCTTATCAGAAAGCCAAGGTTCACCTGCAAACCTAGATTACCTAGGTGGTATAAAACTTTTTTTTCAAAAGTCTTTTGCACTGTCTAAATTTTTCTACAGTAATTAAAAATTGTATATATTTCTTTTATCTGTTACTACCTTAGTTACCAAGGCACAAAATGACCAATATAATTATCCGCTTACCAAAGTCATGGCTTTAAGCACTTCAAAATAAAACTCATTTTAAGATGTCAAAGGAAACAGCATTATCCATCTAAAAAAAAAGAGACAACATAGTCCTTTTCCTAGTTAGTCTATGTTAAATCTATAAGAAGCATTTGCCATCAGCTACCTAAAATACTGACAGGATTCAAGGCATAATGTTTCAAAATCAAAACTGACATGGCTTTTAAAGGTAAGTGATAAAACCTATGCTTCCCACAGAAAGAAAAAGGTAAAATCTGAGATTCTTATTTAAGATTCTGAAATTATATTCACAGGCTAAAAGCCAAAATCAAAGAAAAAACACACGTAATATCTATTTAAATTTCAAATGAAGGCAACACATATTATAAGTTGTTCACTTTCAGCTTCCTGAATATTTCCTGCTTAAGGTATCCATTTTCTCCATAGAAACTCAATCAGAAAAATCCCTTCAAAATGTTTTATAAATTCAACTGCAATGTTCCTACTATTTCATCTGATTATCTCAGAAAAAGACTAGCCTCATTCATAAAGCTATTCACACATCTAAACCTAAAAGGGGAAATGAGTTTCTTCCTAGAAACATTTTTTAAAAAGGAGCAAAAACCTGATGAAAAAACACTGCTGCCACGTCTTTTCCCCTCCCCCACTCACGTAGTGGCTGTTTCATCCCTTCGGAGTGCATTCCAAGGGAAAGTCCAAGAGCCACAGCTCTCCGAGAAACCAGAAACAGTTAAGTTCAAATTGGCAAGTCTCTGTGGCCTTTCAGATCAATTCCTAAAAGGAGAGCTAGCTGCTTCTTCATCCCTTTCTTAAAGCAAACAGCGCAAAATTCCAAGAGTCTTCACTCTCCGGAACGCATGTAAGTGTCAAAAAAAAATAAACTCTACTTAATACATTCGATTATTCAGGAGATACAGTCTCCTAGAAATAGGAGAAATGGTACCATTCTTCCTCCCCCTTAAAACATACATCTGGGAGGCATTCGTGAAATCCAACTCAAAGTTCTCACACAACCACGAAACTCGATTTACTGATGTGGAGTTTTAAAAAAGCAGGACACTCTCTGCTGAGAGAAAGAGAAAGGGGATGGTGGGGGAAGCTCATGTGGCTTTAAAAAAAATTCGTGTAAGAGGGAAGGAAGAGTAGCTTCCCCGACGACTGGGTGATCTGACAGCCGCCTTGCTCAATCCAGCAGCCCGAAACTCGGCGCCCGGGGCAGCGTCTAGCTGCTCCAGCGGCACCGCTGCGCGCAACAGATGAGTGGAGCCCGAACTTCTCTGACTAGGTCCGCTTCCCAGACCCGACGACTTTTCGATAGGGTAGAAATGCCTCAAGTGCTTCGGCTCCTGCCCTAAGCTTTTAAAATCCGCTCTCCACTCCGCCACATGCTACCCATCTGCCGCGGCGGAGGCCAAAAACCCACGCCCCGCCCTCGCGTTCCCCCCAGCTTTTGTAGGGAGGACCAGGTATGAGAGAAGCTCGGAAAAATCAACAGGGTGAGCCCTCCCCGAGAAGGAAGGAATATTCAAGAAAGTCCTGGTCCCCAGGGCGGGGACAGAGGCTGCCGCAGCCCCAACGGTCAGGGGCGCCGACCAGGCAGGAGGCGGGAGAAGGGGAGCACGGAGAAGGGCAGAAGAGCTTCTGGGGCAGCCAGGGGGCGCGAGGCCGAGTCTCCAGAAAAGAAGGTATTCAGGTTGCTGTGGTCAACTGGAGAACCCTCCGCCCCCAAGCCATCCCACCACAGCGGGCAGGGAGCGGACCACCACAGCTGTCCCAGAAGGGCCACAGCGGTCCTAGGGCCTGAGCCACAGTCTCCCGAGTCCGGGGAGCGTCTCACCTGGGAAGTGGGGCGCGAGGGGCGGCGCGTTCTTCAGTCCCCTGTAGCCAGCTCTCGGGCCGGATACCTGCTCCCTTTCCTCAGCCCGCTGGCGGCGCGACTGGGCAGCAGAGGGAGCCAGTTAGCCCTTTTATAACCTCTAGGCTGCGACGGCAGCGCTAGGGAGGAGGCGACTGCAGCCCTCGCTACGTGAGCTCGATCACACCAGCGCCCTTAGGGACTGCGCAGGCGCGAGTCCGCGCCTCCCTCCAGGCCGCACTCGCGGCCCACACCCGTAATCCCCTGCAGCCCCGGAGTCCTAGGCGGAGAAGTGGGGCGGGCAGGCCGGCCTGGCATGTGATGCGCCTGCGCAGGGTTCTCGCCACGCCGTCGTCACCTTCCTTCCTTCAGATTTGCCTCGCTCCTTTTCATCAGGTTGTTTAAACGCGTTAATTTCAACATCGGCTTCAGGCCTGGGCCTCGAAACGACCAGCAATGATATATGAGAAGAGGAGCATGGGAGCGTAGAGAATGAAGCAGAAAAGAAGCCTCGGGTGGAAAATAATACCGTGCATCCTTGGTATCTCAGCTGTCGTGGCCCGGAGGATTTTTGCCTTACTAACCTCCCTTTTTTACCTCCACTGTTATTTTATACGAATCTCACTCTGCCACTTTTATACTTACTTTATTAGTAAAGTATGCGCACTTCGGAGACAGATTTTTTTAATTTAGTTCCCGGCTCAGCCCTGTAAAACGCAGGGCATTAACCTCTCTTCATCTCCGTTTCCTCATCTGTAAAATGGGAATGATGGTAGGTTTCTCATAGGAATACTGGGAGAATTAAATGAGATAATGTATGTGAAGCACTTAGTACATGCCTAGCACGCAGAAAGGACGTGGTAAATATCAGATGCTGTTGTTACACCATATGAGACACCCAATGTTGTGTTTGGTCTTAGTCTAAGGTTTGCCTTGGCCATTATATTCCTAAAAGAACAAACAAAAAGTCTTGGGGAGCCTGGGTGGCTTAGTCGTTAAGCTTCTGCCTTCGGCTCAGGTCATGGTCCCAGGGTCTTGGGATCGAGCCCCGCATCGGGCTCCCTGCTCCACGGGAAGCCTGCTTCTCCCTCTCCCACTCCCCCAGCTTGTGTTCCCTCTCTCGCTGTGTCTCTGTCAAATAAATAAATAAAATCTTTAATTAAAAAAAGAAACAAAAAAAAAAGCCTTGCTATCGGGGAGCAGACAATGAGGGAGATACTTTGACCCTTGTCAGTAAAAGGGAAGAATGACTTCTCTAAGAATAACTTCTCTAAGACTTGGGATTCATTAAAAATTGTTTCTAAAGTTTTCCTTGTATGCCAAAACGCATAGCAATAATTAACATTTGACTCTTACCTAGGAGGTGAAGTTGATTATATGGATACAGAAATAGAGAGCCAGTACTTAGAAGCTCTAGGCATCCAGAAAGTAGATATAAAGATGTCTAACTCAGCGGTTGTCAAAGTGTAGTCGGGGGTCCACAAGATCAAAATTATTTTATACTAAGACTGGGCTTTTCCAGAGACTACATGTTTGGTGATATTGCAACAGATTGAATGCAGAAGCAGATGTGAGAATTCTGTTAAGCCAGACATTATATTTTCAGAAACGTAAAATAGTGCCACTCTTCTAAATCCTTTTTGCTTTGAAATAATAGTTCTATTTCATTAAAAATGTTATTTATGTTAACATGTAACAGATTTATTGTTTTTTATTTTAAATGAATTAATAAATATTTTATATATTTGTTTTAACTCCTAATACCATTAATATTGACAGATACAATCCACATAAAAGCTTTTTGGAGTCCTCAATACTTTTTAGGAGTGAAATGGACATAAGACCAAAGAATTTGAGAACCTCTAATCTAAACAAATGGCAGAAAGCCCTTTGACACAAGAGGCAAATCTCTGCCTCAAATGGAACTGTAACCCACTGGCCCTATATGAGCTGACTGAAAATTGACAATCCACCCTATAGATAAAATGGCCCCAGACCCCGAGGCAAATTTAATGCAAAGCTAAGAGGCTTCATCTTCAGGGGACTTCATTTGCACTAGCTTTTTCCAAGGCCCTGGAAGGGGCCCCAGCAGTATATTCATACAGTTCACAAAAATTTTAACTACAATCTTTAGACGGCAAACTGGTTCCTCACTGATTTCTCCTCTGTCACACTTCCCCTTGTCTAGTGGTGTAGGAGGGGCTAGCAGGCATTTTTTTTAAATTTAGCTGAAGGAAGTTGAGTTAGAATACATTTGGTTTGAGTTTAGTGGGGTATATTTTTGTAACTCACAGTCACTTCTACACATAGTTAAAATATTGCCAGCTATCCCAGTGTAGGAATGGCATCCAAGAATACTCCTACCACCCATTGTGCCAACCCACCCATCATTGTAAAACAAAGGTGCAGGGCCAGACATTTTATAACCATTTGAATGTGTCTTACGTTCTATCATCAAAAATATATGTATAGTGGAGCAGACACAAAGTTGAAATTTAGCGAGCCTGAAGCTTAACTGTGGGATATCCTTCTATTTATTGGATGTGTAAAAAAAAAAAAAAGTAATCTCTCAGCATGGGGCTCTTGAACTCACAACCCCGGGGATCAAGAGTCACATGCTCTACCAACTGAGCCAGCCAGGTGCCCCCAAATGTGTAAAATTTTAATGAAAGATTTAGTGCTTGTCAATGCTTAGCTAATAAAAGGAAGTTATTTTCTGTTAGAATTGAAGAAGGATATCCACAATAAAAGTTAGAGTATTATCAGTTTAAAGAAACTTGATATGCCCCGAACTCTTTTAAGTCACACATAATCTTATTTGAGATTCTTCCAAATGTAATGGCAATCCTAAAAATTAACATGACATTATCAGTAATGGGTTGTGAAACTGAAAGAAATGTCTAACCTGTCCCTTACAATATCATTTGGTTGCCCAAAAAGGACATTTCATATCAATTTTACATATGACTACTCAACCTGATCATACCTGCTTGGTTAGAATGAAAATGAGAGGTACCTTGGAGAGCAAAAAAAGAATGATACAACTCCCCCTTTGAAAGACCAAACATTAGAACAGAACTGCTCTAGCTGTACTATAAATCTCCAATCTCTTCTTGCATCTGAAAAAGTTGAATAGGTTCATCAATTAAAATAAATATTTCTTGAACAAAATATTAAAAGTCCCATATTTTTAGGAAAAGATTATTATACAGCTATGGTAAAAACTAATGAACAGAAGTAATTTTAAACTCAATTCATAGATCAATAGTGGTAACTCAGCCTTGTGAACAAGCCTCTAAAAAACCAGCTTGTCAGTGACAGCTTCCCACTTTTTAAAGTTAGCCAAACAGCAAAAGCCTTACTCTTGTGAACACATCTCTGAAAATCAGCCAATTGTAAACAGTCTCTCCACCACAATAATTACGCTTTCATAGCTGATGTCAACCCAATCCACTCCCATCTTTGAAAGTCAGTCAATCCCTGAACTCCACCTTTCACAAAATACCATATAAGATCAGCAGAGAGACTGGACCAAACAAGTATAGTGCTTCTACACATAGAAAATAATGAATCAGCGTTTTATTTCACATTTTGAATGATGGTTACTTCCAAGAAAAGAGGAAGCCAAAATAGAACATGTAGACTTCTTGAGGGCAGTTTTAATCAAATTACATTCACACATATGAAACGATTAGAAATCATCTGAGAGAGTAGATAAGTACTGAATTGTGAGGATTATAAAATTCTATACACTTGGGAGGAGAAATAATAAAGTTGAATTGGATAAAATAAGTAATAGTGGATAAGTTTTTCAACAGAGGATTAAGATAATGGAAGCAATGTTTTAGAATATTATGCTATGTAAATTAGAAGAGAAAGAAAGTGGAGTCTAGATTAGTAGTCCAAGATTTATTGAATAAATATTTATGGAACACCTACCAACGGTGTCCCAAGACACTGCCTGCTAGGCTGTGGAAGATCAAACTTTAATAATTAGACAGTCTCTTAAAGAATTTATAATCTTATTGGATAGAGTGATATATGATTCCTGCTGTCATATAACTCAGAGTCCTTTGAAGGAAACTAAAAATACACTAAATAAATAAATAAATATTAATTATAATAAAAGAAAATAAGGTGCTATGGAAAAGAATAACAGTAGGGACGTAATTTAGATAACACAGGGAAAGTGTCGCTGAAGAAGTGACATATAAACTGAGACCCGAGTTGGCCAGATGAAGTGTGTGAACAAGAGCATCCTAAGAGAGATAATAGCATGTGTGAGGAGCATGTGACAGGAACAAGCTTGATGCATTTGGAGAAGCTAAAAGAAACTTAATGTATTTGTAGTTCCATAAGCAAGGGAGAAACCAGGATGATCAGTATACAGAGGCTAGATTAGGTAGGGCCTATTTGGTACTGTAACAAGTACAATGGGAAGGCACTGAAGTATTTTGAATAATGAGGCAATATCATGTTGTTTACCTGTCACAAAAGAAAATGCAATGTAAGAGTATGAGTTTTCCATGTCACTGGGCATGGGGATGAGCCTTGGACTAGGAGCGATAGGGACTTTCTGTTTAATCATGAGTAGGAACACAAAAGTCAAGAGATAAATGCAGCTGAAACTGGAAACCATTCCAGTTACTAACATCCTATCACTGCAGCACTGAGGAAAGTGACTGCAATGGGGTAGCCAGACCATCCATGTCATGTGGCCTCAATAGGGATGCTCACTGTAGCAGGCAAAATAATGGCCCCTCAAAGATGTCCACATCCTACTCCCTTGTACCTGTGAATATGTTACTTTACCTGGCAAAAGAACTTTGCAGATATAATTAAGGACCTTTAGATGGAGAGATTAGTCTGGATTATCCAGGTGGGCCCAATTTAATTAAATGATTCTTTACAGCTGAAAACTTTTCCCAGCTGTGAGGATGGAAGCAAAGTGAGATATTTGCTACATGGCTGATTTGAAGATGGAGAGAGGGGACTAGGAGCCAGGAAATGTGGGAGGCCTCTAGAAACTGGAAAGGGCAAGGAAATGGATTCTTCCCTAGAACAATTCAGAAACGGGCACAGCCCTGCCGATACTTCTGATTTTAACCCAGTGAGACCCATGGCAAACTTCTGACTTACAGAACTGTAAGATAATAAATTTGTACTGTTTAAGCCATCAAGTTGGTGATAACTTA